ATCAAGAACTTCAAAATGTGGAAAAATTGTCATTTTTCCAAAGCGGTTAGTCCATTCTTTTGGTTAAAAATTTGCGATTTTTCCATCGTTTTTTTTTTTGGCAATAAAGGCCAGGAACATGTGTTTTACGATATTCTAGAACGAAAAAAGATGTTTCTAAGCTATAAAAACAAGAAGTTCAATTTTTCCATGGTTTTGGTCAAAAATTGGCCATTTTTTCATGTTTTTTTTAAAGGTAATATAGGCCAGGAAAATGTGTTTTACGATATTCTAGAACGAAAAAACCTCTTTTTAGGCTATAAAAACAAGAAGTTCGAAAAGTGGAAAAATTGCCATTTTTCCAAAGGGGTTAGTCTATGGTTTTGGTCAAAAATTGGCCATTTTTCCATCTTTTTCTTTAAAGGTAATATAGGGCAGGAAAATGTGTTTTACGATATTCTAGAACGTAAAAACGCCTTTTTAGGCTATAAAATCAAGAACTTCAAAAAGTGGAAAAATTGTCAATTTTCCAATGGGGGTAGTCCATGCTTTTGGTCAAAAATTGACCATTTTTCCATCCTTTTTTTTTTGGCAATAAAGGCCAGGAAAATGTGTTTTACGATATTCTAGAACGAAAAAACGTGTTTCTAAGCTATAAAAACAAGAAGTTCAAAAAATGGAAAAATTGTCATTTTTCCAAAGGGGTCCATGGTTTTGGTCAAAAATTGGCCAGTTTTCCATGTTTTTTTTAAAGGTAATATAGGCCAGGAAAATGTGTTTTGCGATATTCTAGAACGAAAAAACCTCTTTTTAGGCTATAAAAACAAGAAGTTCGAAAAGTTGAAAAATTGCCATTTTTCCAAAGGGGTTAGTCCATGGTTTTGGTCAAAAATTGGCCTTTCTTCTATCTTTTTCTTTAAAGGTTATATGGGGCAGGAAAATGTGTTTTATGATATTCTAGAACGAAAAATCGCCTTTTTAGGCTATAAAGACAAGAAGTTCAAAAAGTCGAAAAATTGCTGTTTTTCCAAGGGGGTCCATGGTTTTGGTCAAAAATTGGCCATTTTTCCATCTTTTTTTTAAAAGGTAATATAGGCCAGGAAAATGTGTTTTCCGATATTCTACAAGGAAAAAAACGTGTTTCCAAGCTATAAAAACAAGAAGGTCAGAAAATCGAAAAATTGTCATTATTCCAAAGGCGTTAATCCGTGGTTTTGGTGAAAAATTTGCCATTTTTCCATCTTCTTTTTTTTGGGCAACATAGGCCAGGAAAATGTGTTTTACGATATTCTACAACGAAAAAACGTTTTTCTAAGCTATAAAAACAAGAAGTTCAAAAAATCGAAAAATTGTCATTTTTTTCAAAGGGGTTAGTTAGTGGTTTTGGTCAAAAATTGGCCATTTTTCCAAATTTTTTCCTAAGGCAATATAATAGAGGAAAATGTTTTTTTTAGATGTTCTAGAACGAAAAAACTCTTTTTTAGGCTATAAAAAGAAGAACTTCAAAAAGTGGAAAAATTGCCATTTTTCCAAAGGGGTTAGTCCATGGTTTTGGTCAAAAAGTGACCATTTTTCCATCTTTTTTTTAAAGGTAATATAGGCCAGGAAAATGTGTTTTACGATATTCGAGAACGAAAAATCGCCTTTTTAGGCTATAAAAACAAGAAGTTCAAAAAGTCGAAAAATTGCAGTTTTTCCAAGGGGGTTAGTCCATGGTTTTGGTCAAAAATTGGTCATTTTTCCATCTTTTTTTTGTAAAGGTACTATAGGCCAGGAATATGTGTTTTACGATATTCTAGAACGAAAAACGTGTTTCTAAGCTATAAAAACAAGAAGTTCAAAAAATCGAAAAATTGTCATTATTCCAAAGGGGTTAGTTCGTGGTTTTGGTGGAAAATTGGCCATTTTTCCATCTTCTTTTTTTTGGGCAATATAGGCCAGGAAAATGTGTTTTACGATATTCTTCAGCGAAAAAACGTGTTTCTAAGCTATAAAAACAAGAAGTTCAAAAAGTCGAAAAATTGTTTTTTTTCCATTTGGTTAGTCCATGGTTTTGGTCAAAAATTGGCCATTTTTCCATCTTTTTTTTTAAAGGTAATATAGGCAAGGAGAATCTGTTTTACGATATTCTAGAACAAAAAAAGGCCTTTTTAGGCTATAAGAACAAGAAGTTCAAAAAGTGGAAAAATTTTCATTTTTGGAAAGGGGTTGATCCATGGTTTTGGTCAAAAATTGGCCATTTTTCCAAATTTTTTCCTATGGCAATATAGTAGAGGAAAATGTGTTTTTAGATATTCTAGAACGAAAAAACGCCTTTTTTGGCTATAAAAGCAAGAACTTCAAAAAGTGGAAACATTGCCATTTTACCAAAGGGGTTAGTCCATGGTTTTGGTCAAAAATTGACCATTTTTCCATTTTTTTTTTTGGCAATAAAGGCCAGGAAAATGTGTTTTTCGATATTCGAAAACAAAAAAACGTGTTTTATAGCTATTAAGCAAGAAGTTCAAAAAGTGGAAAAATTGCCATTTTTCCGGGAATAGCCCATAGTTCTGGTCAAAAATTGGCCATTTTTCCAGGTTTTTTTTTCAGGCAGGATAGGCCAGGAAAATGAGTTTTACGACATTCTAGAGCGAAAACACGCCTTTTTAGGCTGTAAACACAAGACGTTTAAAAAGTGGAAAAATTGCCATTTTTCCAAAGGGGTTAGTCCATGGTTTTGGACAAAAATTGGCCATGTTTCCATTTTTTTTTTAAAAGGTAATATAGGGCAAGAAAATGTGTTTTGCGATATTCTAGAACGAAAAAAACGTGTTGTAAGCTATAAAAAGAAGAAGTTCAAAAAGTCGAAAAGTTGTCATTTTTCCAAAGGGGTTAATGCATGGTTTTGGTCAAAAATTGGCCAGATTTCCAAATTTTTTCCTAAGGCAATATAGTAGAGGAAAATGTGTTTTTAGATATTCTAGAGCGAAAAAACGCCTTTTTAGGCTATAAAAGCAAGAAGTTGAAAAAGTGGAAAAATTGCCATCTTTCCAAAGGGGTTAGTCAATGGTTTTGGTCAGAAATTGGCCATTTTTCCATTTGTTTTAAAGGTAATATATTCGAGAAAAAGTCGTTTTACGGTATTCTAGAACGAAAAAACATTTTTGTAGGCTATAAAAAGAAGAAGTTGAAAAAGTCAAAAAATTACGAGTTTTCCAAAGGGGGTAGTTCATGGTTTTTGTCAAAAATAGGTAATTTTTTTTCATTATTATTTTTTAGGGAAAATAGGCCTGGAAAATGTTTTTCACGATATTCTAAAAAGTAAAAACGCCTGTCTAGGCTATAAAAACAAGTAGTTAAAAAAGTTGAAAAAGTAGTTTTTTCCAAAGGGGTTAGTCCCTTGTTTTTGTCAAAAAGTTGGAATTTTTTCTTTTTTTTATTGAAAATAGGGTAGGAAAATGTGCTTTACGATATTTTAGGAAGTAAAAGCGCCTTTGTAGACTAAAAAAAACAGGCAGTTAAAAAAGTCGAAAAATTGATATTTTTTTAAAAAGTGTTTGTCCCTGGTTGTGGTTAAAAATTGGGAATTTTGCAATTTTGTTATTGCGGATAAAAAGGTTAGGAAAAGGTGTTTTACGATATTTTTAAAAGACGTCTTGTCTTTCTTAAAAGAAAGATAAGACGCCTTTTTAGACCATAAAAACAACAAGTTTAATAAGTCGAAAAATTGAGATTTTTCTAAAGGGTTTAGGGTTTTGATCAAAAATTGGCAATTTTTCCTTTTTCTTATTTTAGGCAAATAAGCCAGGATAATGTTTTTTTGATTTTCTAGAAACTAAAAACGCCTTTCTAGACTGCAAAGGGAACTAGTTAAAAAAAGTCGAAGCACTGGCAGAGTTTTGCTCAAAAATTGGTAATTTTTCCATGTTTTGTTTATGCAATATAGGCCAGGATAATGTGTTTCACGATATTTTAGAAAGAAAAATCGCCTTTCTAGACGTTAAAAGATTATTTTTAGGCTCATTTTACATGAAAACAGTTAAGGAAAAAATTTTGACCAAAGCCTTGGGTTAACCCCTTAAAAAAATGGTATTTTTGGACGTTTTTTAAGGTTTAATTTTTATAGTCTTAAAAGGTTTTTTTTCATGTAGAACATCTAAAAACAGTATATCTTGTCCCATTTACTCTAAAAGAATAACAAAGTTCGAATTTTTTAACCACAATTATGGGTTAATCCCTGCAAAAAATTCGGGTTTGTGGTCTTTTTTAATGGTGTAATTTTTGTCGTCCAAAAAGGTTTCTTTTTTACGTAGAACATCTTGAAACATTATTTGTATTGTGATTTTACCTTAAAACAAAAAAGAAGAAAAGTTTTGAAATTTTTGACCAAAATCATGGGTTAACCCTTTTGGAAAATTGGGATTCTTGGCCTCTTTTAAAGCTGATATTTTGAAAGTCTAGAAAGGTTTCTTTTTTATGTAGAACATCTTGAAACATTGTTTTTAGGCTCATTTTATAAAACAAAAAAAATTGAACTTTTTGACCAAAATCATGGGTTAACCACTTTGGAAAAACTAGCAAGATCGCTGTTATAATGATGGTATGTTTTCTTTCTGATAGTAGAGCTTTTGGATTTCTTTGAAAAGTGGGAAGTGAAAAAACAAACAGAATGAAACAGAAGAAGAAAAAAAAATCAGGGAACCTGGTTTGCTTTTGTTGCTATTAACAACATATGGTGTTTGACAAGAAAATCAATGGAAAGACTTTGGAAGGATGACAGAAGGAAACTCGAGGGAAAGGCCGGAGAGCATTTGCCTCAGAACGTCCAGAGAGGTTCTATGTTCACAAACGTCCGCATAATCCAATATGGCAGGCCATCTTCTAGTAATCTGATTTTTAGTCTTCGAGGGTTATTTTACCAGCTGCACTCGTCGCAACTGACTCCGCTGATCTCATACGCTTTTTCTAGAAATCATGCTCTGCTCCTGCTCTGAACATGTAGCAGAGATGTCAGAGAAATGAACTCCTGATATCTTGTTCTCTTAGAATGTTGTTTCTAAACTTGAGGTGGATTCCGGGCGTTCCTTTGCTCCGCCGTCGTCGAACTTAATCCATAAAACCGTTTCCTCTCCGTTACTGCCTTGATTGCGGTTATCTGTAATAACTTCCTGCTTGTTTCCTCTAACTTCAAGGGCCATAACAGGGCTTAATTGCATACCCTCTTGAAAGACTTCATCTTCCTTCAGCTCATCTTCAAACGGACGCTCTTTTTTTGGGGTGTGAATACTTAATCGGACGTTTTCTTCACTATGAATGCGCCTAAACGAAGATTCTTGAATTCTTACTTTGTTTCGGTCGGGGTCATCTTCAAACGGAGACTCCTTTATTGGATCTGGTAAATGCACTCGGAGATTTCCCTCAGAATGAATACGGCGTCTAAACGCAGTTTCCTGAATTTTACTTTGATCAGCATCGGGTGGGAGACTGGAACTCCTACATCTTAGAAAGTGATCCCACTTGTTTTGTATTATTTCTTGTTGTTCTGCTAAACTTTGCTTTCTTTCTGTCAGCCTTTTTCGAGTGCTCTGCCATCGCTCTTTTCTGGAACCTGGCCTTCTACTTTTCTGGGCTTCTTCCCTGCCTTGAACCCTAACACTGTGCAAGCCATCATTTTCTGATATAACATGCAATGTCGATTTTCGCCGCCCTTCCCGGCCGTGCAGATTTTCCTTGGGACACTCGAACCTCTCATCTTTTGAAAATATTGATGACCTAAGGAGAAAGAGAACAAACAAATTTAACCCTTTAAACCCTGATATCAAAATTCAGGTTCTCATTTGTTATCCCTATACGTTTTCCAAAGAAGTAGTGGGGGGAATGTGTTGAAGTATCAATTAGATCCATCTTGTGTGATCATGTCCTTAATTCTCATGACCACTCTGTTTTATAATGCATTGATATTACAAGGAGAAATTTGACGCTCATCACTCTTAGGGCTTAAAGGGTTGAGGTACTTGGTTTTCTCAAAATCTTTTGTCTGTCCTCGCGAGACACTTTTGGGATTCTCGGGACCAGGTAGCCTGACTAGAAAGTCTAACCGTTTACAGACTTCATTACAAGGGCATCGCTTTCTCTTCAGTTATTTTAAAAGCCCAAGTGTTGTTCCGGACGTGCTTTGAAACAGTGGCCTCCCCCTCTGCAGACTAGCACTTAGCTAATTTAACTAACTGGCAGGCGGCGGTTAATGGGAGGTAGGATAGAACTCATAGACAGGTACTTCAAGCTTAGGAGCTGAGAGAAAAAACTTGATTTACACTTACGGTTGACGTCTTTACTACGCTTTTCACAAAAACGCGAACTCTAAAGGTTCAAAAGTCGTCTTCGCAATTGCGTTTTTCGCTGCTGTCAATCATAATTACGATCACAAGCAACGAGCCTTGAGACACAGAGACACATAAAATGGAACGAAATCCACCAATCAAAGACCACAGACCATGAACTTTTGAACCCGTCTAAGTAAAGTTCTTTTTCCTAAGAGGTCCGCTAAAACGCAAACGTCAGTTGGCTTTTGAACTTCAGAATTCGCGTGTTTTTGAAAAGCGCAGTAACGAAATAATAACGAAACATAGTCCTACACTCATCATTTAAATGAGCTATCCACTCGTTTCAATTCCTTCTTCGTTCAATTATGTGCGGGTAGAGGTGCGAAATAACTGTTACACTATCAAAGCCAAATTTTCTCAAGCAGATTAGTCCATGTTTGTTGCTTTTTAGTTGTAATAATGGCCAAGAGCAACTTACTTCCTGGAAAAGAGCTTCCTGATGATGTACTTTAACTCAAGAAAGAACCATGCCAGAAGTAGTGACAAAACTGTCATTCCAAGTAGTATCTAAAAGGCAAGATTTTGAAAATATAATGCTCTTATATAAGTGAAATAGGTGATTCGCGTGAAAAAAAAAATCAAATAAATTGAAAATACAAAAAAATAAGGGGTAGAAATTGCATTTCATTGGTTAGAGCTATGTTGAAGCATAGACTACTGTAAGAGTCTGAGCCCCCCCCCCAAATTAACCTCCCTTAGCGTTTTAGTTCTAACGCTACATGTATTCTATTTTCCCGTCTCTTTCATATTATGAGAGTCATCCTGGAGTTAATTATATTTTAACTTACCGCCAGATGTTCATAGATGTTAACATCATGGAATCCAAATCTAGACAATACAGCGTTTCCTTCTGTACTGATACAGTTTAAAGTGGACTCGTATTGGCATTTCAGACGATTATTCTTTAATAAAACTTTAGTGATAGCTGCATACCCATAAAACTGAGGGTTTATGAAGAACAGCAGATTGTACCTTGAAAAAAAAATCTCAGTGAGTCATTCATAGCGGATCGTGTTTTGATTTGGAGAGAAACTTGAACAGTGAGGATTTAAATCCAGGCAGTTCGTGTCGACGTTTATAGCATTAGTGGAATAAAATGGAGACGATGGGCAACGGTTGGTCAATCGTGTTGCAGTATGACGTCATAGCGAACTGTCGGTTGATTTCTAGAAAGTTCTCGGGTATGAAGTTTTTGCACCTGAGCGTTCGCTTAACAAACTAAAAGCCACGCGCATTTGTATCCATTCGATAAACCAATCAAAACACTCTGTTTCTTTTCGTTTGTTTTTTCTGTTTTGTTCGCGAGTTTTCATTGCAAGGTCGTACGAAACTCACTATATCATCTTTATACCCTTAGTTCCTTAGTTCTTGCTTTCCACTGGGATACAGGTGTGCGCACAAGTTTCTTATTTCATCAGACGACGTGTATTTTATCTAGTTTTATGTATTCCAATATATTTTTTTGGTCCATAGGATTCACTGAATCCGAAGTCAATCGTGGAATCGCGCCTACTTTAAGTATCCTATTGAGAAACAGCTACTGTATTTAAATATTTGAAGAGTTATCTCGGAGATAAAAAATCCTTCTCTACGATCAGCACATGATGACATGTAAGAGAACATTATGAAGTATATGGAACACGTCATCTACCTAAAGCATCATCTTACCCAGGTGGCATCAAGGGCCTAGGAACTAAAAAGCCTCCTGCAAAGCCAGCAGTGGCTGACACCATTGGACAGATACGATGAGCGATCCGCGGCTGCGCACAAATAACCATCATGTAAATAGCAATCCATGTTTGATTTAAAACAAGTGAAATTATTGTCACCTGTGTGAACTTCCACAAATCGTATGATGTCATCACCTACGAAAAGACAATGTTCAAACCCATGTTAGCAAATTTCCAAAAAAAAACCAAACTGACTCGCTTTTTCTTTTCAGAATGTCTTGAAATGAACAAAAAGAGTCTTAAGGTTTGTTTCCAGTGTCGCGTAATTTTTACGTGGGTACGTGCGTAAAATGTACGTTCGCAAAAAAATAGAGGCAATGCATGAAAGGTCGCTTGTAAGCGTAAAAGTTGAACCTGGCTCAACTTCTCGTTTGAGCTCAGCACTTTTTATCTTGCCTCTATTTATTTACCTCAATAAAATTTATGTGCGTTAACGTGCGTAGCCAAAAACGCGTCAGTGGAAATCAACCCTTGGTGACAGTATTTTTTGGTAGTTTTTTGACATACCGTAAAATATGTCATGACAGAACAAATGATCACAGGAAGTGTGCACAGAGCAGAAATTCTCAAGTAAGTTTGAATGACGTTCTCGTAGGATCGACCACAACCATCTGCACGCTCAAGACGAAATATCTGCAATTCAATCATAAGAACTGATTACGTATTTTGTGAAAGGCAAGATATTTTTTTGTATCATAGTTAGTTGGTCTATTTGCTTAGGGAGTTTTAACAGAAAAGGAAGAACGTAGGGGAAGACATCGGGTTATTAGAAGAGAGAAAAATTGGATGGAAGGAGGCATTTAGATAAAGAAGAAATAGGCAGAGAAAGGAAAGGGAAAGAAAAATGGGAATATTACTTAAGCTAAATGAATGGATGGGTAGATAGAAGAATGAATAGACTGATTGAACGATGGATGGATGGCTAATGAATACATTAATGGGAAATTGATGGCTGGCTAACTAGATAGGTGGATGAGTGGGTGAAAAATGGATGTCGGTGTCGATGAATGGATGAATGAATGCGTAGGAGATGTACGTGGAAAATGGATAGATGGACGGGTGAGAGATCAGAGGGATGGGTTGGAAGATGGTACAGCATGGAAAAAAGATGGCAAGATTAAGGGACGGAAACCAAGGAGAAAAATCAAGGAAAAAAAGGATAAAGGAAAGTAAAGACTTTTGTTCCTGGGCCATCGTAAATTAAAAGAGAAGGAAAATAAGTCCCAAAACAAATATGTAAGATTGGTTCAGGAGGGAGCCGACTCTATTGTTTTCCAATTACGTTTATTGACCCATTCCTCGTGCCAGTGTGACGTCACATAGCAACGGGTAGTGCTTCGCGTCGCTTCTGGATTGGTTGATGAGGCTTCACTTACATCTAAAACTTTATTGAGGTGCGCCATTAAAACAGAGCTCAGGAACAGTGGACTGGCACAGCAATACACACAGAAAGCGGACATCAGTAAAATTCCATCTTTTTCTTCAGCTCGGAAATAAACAGTTCCTGTAAAAAAATTAAAAAAATAAAATTCAGTTGGGATACTGACTCGTCCCCAGTCGTCTTCGCGCGTAACGAGCACGGCAGTAGCAGGGGGTGATGGGAAGGGAACCACCTGACCATTGCATTCCGCCTTCCCATCACACCCCTCGCGCCACTAGGAAGAGGTTGTGAGAGACAACTCCGGGACGAGTCAGGTTCTGATATGTGATTATTGCTATTTGCAAGAAGCATCCTTTTTTTTTGCTTTCCGGCTAAGTGAATTACGAAGGTCCCCATTAAGTTTTCGGAATCCTGGGTTTCCCTTGTTTGAAGTTTGGGATTCGGGATTTTAGAGTAAAATCGGGGAGATATTCGGAAGTGAAAGTATGTGTGGAAAATGGGAGGCTAAAAATATCCCTCGGGATTACGTAATTGCACGAAATTTTGGGTCTGGATTACGGGATTGAAGAACCCTATTGGGGGCCCTCAATTACCTGTTACAAATCCAAATACTAAGAATATAAATGGAAAATATAGCATCTGGCCTAACGACTGTCTCTCCGACGTTCGAGCTTCAAGAACGAAGACTCTGTTGAATGTCCCTCCGCCTACATCCCTAGAGCAATCAACAAAAAAGAATATTTCATTCGTTTTTGAAAATGAAACTCGAACAAAGAAAAAAGAGCTGTTAAGAAAATAATAATATCAACAACAACAACTACAACCGAAAATTGTATTATGAAACGTTGAGTTGTAAGGGAGGGAAATGGGGAATAGCGTACAGTTGATGATGAGCCTTTTTTGGGCTGTACCGTATTTCCTCGAATTATTAATTATTTCGCACCAAAAGGAGCCGATTATTCGAGGGAGGCGACTATTTCAAATATTGCTCACTGGAAGTCGTGCACTAAATATTTCGCTCTATTATCCCACTACTTTTTAAACATAATCACATCAAATAAACTGAACATGGGCTTTTTAAGTGTTCCAAGTTTGTTTCTTTGATTAATTTTCAATGTCCTTCAATAAAGGTAACAGTTCTAACTTTTCTAGTGAAAAATGGAAAAATGAAGCTTTCCGGGGTGTTTATAATTCGAGAATACCCGAAAAAACTTCAAGTCAAATCTCGTACTCGTAGTCGTCCTCGTCCTCGAATCTAAAGGTCTCTGCTTTCAATTTTTAATTTTTGAAGTACATTCTCCGACAGTTTACAAAAAGAAGAAAAGCGTCGCAGGCTTCCCTAACTTCAGGAGCCGTTCAGTTTAGGTGGCTGAACACAGTTTTGTGGGCGGTCAGCGGTAAATCGCGTGACGGGACGTGTTTTAAATTAGACAAACAAACATGGCAGCGAAAAAAGCAATGATACACAGTAGACGATTTCTCAAAAACTACCCATTAAAATTTTGTGATATTTGGCAGAATTTTTGCTTTTTTCGTATTTTAAATAATGAGAACTCTAAAATGGAAGTTAAACAGACGGTTTTTGTGACACATTAATAATTACAGTACAATTATTTCATTGATTATCTAAAAACCCGTCTGTTAAAATTTGGTCAAATAAGTTTCAAGTGGTAATGATTAATAATAGTAAGCTGTGTGCACGTTTATCGGAAAATCTAATGAGCAAATTTTATGTAAACTCAGCAAAAGTGAAATTTTAAAGTTGTATTCAAACTGTCATGTTGCCATGGAAAGATTTTACCTGTCAATCAAAATGTTTCATCAGTATATTTTTCACTTGCCAAGTTTCAGCTTCTGAGCTGCAACCTTTCTCTTTCCATGATCTGGCAAATGACATATACTGACAAACTGCGAAAACTGTGTTCAGCCACCTTAACTGTATAAGCTATGTAAGTTCTCTTTGATGAGATTATCGACACTTAAATCACTCACCTATTCTTTCTGAATCTTCTTTTTCGTTTATTGGTGTTGGTTTGTTTGCGCAGGGAGGTCATGATAGCTTCTTGGACAGCCTGTGGCTCACCACTTTTTTGGTAATAAGCGAGAATGGAACGTCGAGCGTCGGGGCAGTTCAGTATATCCATTATAGTGTCTGAATGGAAAAAAAAATAGCCGTATGCTAGAAGCAGTGCACCAACACTGGGAAGGCGAACTGAGAAAAAAGCTCTAACATAATGCTCTTTCAAATCCTTAAATTACCACATGTAAGGTGTTCCGGATTCTAGAATCCTGGATTTTTTTGCTTGTTCCTGGGCTTTGGAATCCGGAATTAAGCTCAAGGAATCCGAAATTCGGCTAACGATTAAAACCCGGAATCCCAGTTCCACTCGAAGAAATCGGTTCCGGAATCCACATGGTGGAATCCAGAATCCAAGATAGACTGTCTTGAATTACCTTACATAGAGCGACCCGAAACACATACGTTATTACTCAGAGGACAAGTAGACTCATGGAACTGGATTAAAGTCTTGAAAATTTATTGCTACTCAGCTGAGTTTCATGCTTCTTGCGAAGCAATCATCAGGCAACTGCTGAAAGTAACGGTTACATTCAAAGATATAGTGAAAACAGAACAATAAATGCTAGGCGTGGGGCGTGGCGTGTGGTGCGTGGCTGGTCATACCGCTGATTAATAGTGATGCTTATAAAGGTCAAGTCAAATTTGCGACGAAGTCTACTCTGAATCAAATTAGAGCAGTGTTTAGTAGCGGTATGATGCGCCACGCCTAGTATTTATTGTTCTGTTTTCGATCCTTATATCTTTGAATGTAACCGTTACTTTTAGCAGTTGCCTGATGATTGCTTCGCGAGAGGCATGAAATCACGAAACTCTGAGTAGCAATAAAAGTTCAAGATTTAATCCAGTTCCATTAGTCTACTTGTATTTTGCTCTAGTTCAACTATTGTATGAGCACTCCTATAATCAATAAGGACATCACTCTGGTACTTCGTTACTCAGAGGACATATATTAAAAGAAGAAAAAAAAGAAAGATGTCAACTGGGCCCAATTTCTGAGATATGTTTTCCTAGTTGTGGTTTGATTAGCGTGCGAAAACAGCCGAAACGTCCCCAACGGCGAGGAGCGAGAAACGGAGCGAGAAAAAACGGCTGTTTTCGCAGGCTATGGTTTGATTCCATCTGATATATTAAGTAACACCAACCTGCTGGGTTTTTCGCATCAATGTTTGGAGCGTTTTCACTCATCCGAAATTCTTTTGTTGTTGACTTCAAATATGCCTCAACAAAGAGACTCGGGACGTTAGTGGGCTCGCCATAAAACGCTACCTGAAAAAAAAAAGAAATATTTAAAGGGTATGCTTTGATATCACTACTGACATGGCGTTGATCACGGACAAGTTTATTTTTAGATCAGCTCTGTTGCTAACTTCAATTATTGAACCAGTCCGCAAAAATCAGACAGCAGGTCTTTGTTATTTAAACGTTGGATAGCACTATCCAGTGGATATCACTGTCCAATGAATAAGCATTAAGGAAACCAATTGCGTTATCCAGTGGACAGAGATTTACCAAGTGGATGGATAGCGATATAACGACGTTGTAAACCAAAGATTTGATTTTATCAAAGAAGTTGATAACGTAGGCTTGGGGTGGGGGGGGAGGAGGGGAGGGGGGGGGGTACTCCTTACAACGGCCTATACGGGGAGGCTTCGCCTTAAAGGAGTACCTTTTGTAGGCTTCAGGTATATGAAAGGATAGCGAAATCTGTTATTTTGGGCGGTAAAAATGCCCAAATTGCCTAACATATGCATTTTATAATTGTATCATATATTAAAGACAGTACATTTACGGCAGTTAAAAGGGATGCAGCGTTTTAAACTAGGTTATGAAAGGGGTACCATTTGTCAATCGAAGGTATATGAGATGGGTACCTTTTCTGTCAAAAATGGTATGTAAAAGGGTAAGGAGTTGGACTGCGGGGTGGAGTTGAAGTTTTGAGCACTACCCTTTGTCCTCTTTGTTATGGTTTATCGACTCCGTTACATCACACTCGCCCGCCGACGCAACTCCAAAATTTCTTTAGAAGCTAACTTCTTTATTGATCTTCTTCGTCCTACTCGGCAACAAAACTATATTAATCTAGGTGAATCCCGATGTATGGCATGAACCATATATAAGTCAACTACGAATGAATCAACTTTGATCACAACAGTTACGCTCTATATAAGGGAATCCGGATTACGGAATCTGGGAACATTTTGCTTGTTTGATCTGGAATCAGGAACTATTTTTCTTGTGCAAACCAGAATCCTGGGTTTTTGATCCAGAATACAGCTCAAGGAATCCGGAATCCCACTAAGGATTGGAATCCGCAATCCAAGTTCCACTGGCAAAGAATCTGGATTACAGCACTTGGAATCTGGAATCCACGATGCGGAATCCAGAATCCAAGACTGTTTTGGATAAGTTGGATTCCCTTACATGGGGTGAGGGGCGACCCACATGGGGCGAGCAGTTACCCATATGGGGCGAGCAGTTACTCACCTGGCCATCACACAACAAAAGAATCTTGTGGAAGAGATGGAAGATTTCCAGTCTGGGTTGATGAATGGTGAGTATAATAAGTCTGCCTGATTCTGCTACAACGTTCAAATGCTGTAGCAGCTCAAGAGAGGAGGATGCATCCAGACCTACAAAAAGTACTTTAAAAGTCATATCACGAAAGAGCGGTTGCTGGGGATGGTTCTCATGTTTTAGCACATTTTGTTTAGGGGCGTGACTAAGCGTAAGATTTTGAAGGTGTACGTTCGCGGGGAAGAAAAGGTGTAGCGCTGAACGCGGCCCAACCTAGGGGGGTCTGAGGGCATCCCCCAGAAAAATCTTAACGTTAGGGTCTTTTCCAGCGTTTTCCGTAGGAAATTTTCAATAAATCAATTAGCAGGAAAATGTAGTAGTTAGTTGTTTATTCTACTCATCTCTAGCAGTCAGAATTGTGGAATAATAAAAGGATACGGAAAATACTAACCCAAACACGCATGTACATGCACGCACGGGCGTATGTGCGTATATGGACTTTTCGCTCCTGCTTTATATTAGAGACAAACTTGATTATGCTCGTGAAAGTTTATGGCTAAAAGGTGACGTGCTTTGCTAGCCCTAGTTTATAGACTATCAGATAAATGCGATCATTCTGTGAATGCTATGCTCTGATATCTTCATTAAGAGAGGTGGCGGGGGGGGGGGGGTGGGGGGTGGGGGGTAGGGGTAGAGGGTTAGACCCCAGGCCCCTTCTGGATCAGCCATTCTGACAATCATAGAGCGTGCAATTTTAGAACCGTCTTTACATCTCTACATCATATTTGAACATTTTGGGTGGAGACAGGAAAATTTCGTTTTCTATTCGTTACAAATGAGACTACCTGACGTTGGCTCGTCCAAAAAGAGTACAGAAGGCAGGTTGATCATCTGCAGAGCAACGCACAGGCGACGTTTTTGTCCCCCGCTGAGTCCTGGACCAACAGATCCACCAACAACTGTATCGGCAAGGGATACAAGACCTGTCTGAAAAGAAATTAACCGTTTCAGTCCCTATAGTAAGTTGTTTCTAGGACATTCAGCGAAAAATACAACATTTTAATCGTGAATCCTACCCTATCCACACCCTTAAAGACCCCTTAAGGTAAAGGTGATTTTGATGATGAGTGTACTGCAGTGAGTGAAAAGGATTTTTAGTTATGCCGTAGAGGTCGACACTTCTGAATGCGCAGAGTTGTATGGAGTCACCTGATTCACTTGTAACAAACGAATCAGAACTTACCTCTTCAAGTATCTGCTCTACTCGTTCAAACTTTTTTGAGTGGCTCATTCTCTTAGGGAGCCTCATGTGCGCTGCGAAAAACACATTCTGTCGAACAGTGAGTTCTTCGTAATAAGGTACAGCTAGCTGTAACACGTAACCAATCCTTCGGGCGTACCAGTCTTGTACGTCACCCAGACTCTCTCCGTTAATGTAGACACTACCCTGTTGGTATACGGAATGAGGAACGTCGGTTTGTCAGTGCCTCAAGAAATAAAAAGAAAGTTGTCGACAACTATGTGCAGACGAACTGGTTACTTCAATCAGTCGGCAAACAATTGGCATTTTCCTGTCCCTGATATTCCTCACTCTCTACCGAAGGAGCTAAACGTTGCACAGACTACATGTACTTAAGATTACGTTGAGTTCTTAGACCTCAGAGTAAAACTTAGTAATAACTAAGCAGGGACACAGACTATCAATTTGAACTAAAACTAAATTGAGCACTGAGATCTCAGTGATCAAGATGCAATGGTTAGCAAGCTATGATTCGTTAAAGGAACCTCCACTTCAACAAAAAGATAACTTTAAATCACAGGAAATAACTGTTACAGTCAAATCAATCTAAAATATTTTTAAAGAAAGCGTTTGTATCCGAAAGAAATAACTTTTAGATTCGCCTATTTTTGTTTTCAAATTTTGCGGGCGTCGCCATCTTGAATAATTGTGACGTGTAATGGTTGCCCTATTGTTATTAAACAAAAGCTCTTTGTGTCAGAACAATAGAGCAACCGTAACACGTCACAATTATTCAAGATGGCGGCGCCCGCGAAATTTGAAAGTGAAAATAAGCGATTTTAAAATTCACTTTTCCCGATATAAACACTTTTTTAAAGACAAATTTCGAACAAATTTGTTTATCAACATAATTTTATTCGATTTAAACTTATTCTGTAGTAAGAGTGGAGGTTCCCTTTAACAAACCCCAGGCCATCCTCTTTTCAAGAGACACTTGCGCTGGTCCCGAGGGTGTCCCTTGAATAGAGGTCTCACTGTGGTTCATTACGTACGTACCCGGCTGTGGCCGCTTGTCCTCCTTCCTGTGAGCAAATCAAGAAGGGTAGTCTTCCCTGAACCAGATGGACCCATGATTGCCACCAGTTCACCAGGATTAAAGTAAACTGAAACATTGTCAAGAATTTTCTTTTCCCGGGGATTGCCTTGGTCTATTTCAACATAAGCGGAATCGGAAAGTTTTCTCCAGGCAGTCTGTAAACTATTTCTCCTCTCTTTTCCCGTGCTGAGACCGTCTGCCTTGTGAAATTCTTCAAAATCTGTTTCGCTTTCGCTGAAACGAATAGTTTTGTGAGGATTAACCGGTTTTTCCTCGGGAATTGTAACAAAGCCTAAGTTAACAGCCTGAGTAGATACGGGAGGCTCTGGGTGGTTTTCGCTGCCACCAGTACCTTCAATATCACAAATCGTATGTTGTTTGATATTCACGGGGCATTCAGTCTTTGCTTCATTTGAATCTGCCTCACTTTTGTTTGCTGCTAGTTTCTTGTCCCCTAAAAATCAATATCAACATCAGCATCAATATCAACTGTATTATCCAAGTCCACCTATTATTGATATCCGTATTAGTAACAAAATGAACATTAATCAAAGGAGATTATTAACATTAATATATTGAAATATTTCAATTGTAGTAATCCTTGAGCTGATGATGGATACTGAAGTATCCGAAATATATTTTCTAAACTCAAACGCCGTGTCGACCTTAACTGGAAATGTTTAATTCATTCTCACGCCACGAAATTTCGGTAACGTCCTGTACTACGACCTAGCAGTTATGTTTGATAGAAAGCTTATCTTAGATGATTTCCGTTAGTTAGAGAATATCAAGCTATCTGCAAAAGCACTAGAATTCCAATGGATGCCAAAGTTTTGAGCTATAAATATCGTCGATTTCAAGAAATACGAATTTTAATATCAATAACGATGTTGTCGACAGCAAATTTCCACTGCCATAACTCCATCAATGCGTCTCTTCAAGGTAAAATGTTTTTTCATTCTGCAGATCGGCAATAGAGGCAAAAAGGACTAATTGACAAAGATATAAAGGAAATATTTTTACCACCATTTTGAAATATGGTGTCGTTTCCAAGTTACCTTAACTAGCCCTCGTTTTAGGAGGAATGGTTACAACTGCAAGTGGTTTTCTCTCACCTTTGTCTTTAGTTGGTTTCTGATGCGCAACATTAACTGAGTAACTTAGGAAAAGGCAGGCGATACTGGTCATTTCATGGGGTGCACATGGTGGAAGCTGAAAGACATGAATAATCGACTGTGTTTTATGGAATCATTCCACGTAAGTTACCATAAATCCTCTATTAAGCCCCCCGTCTCAAATAAGGCCCATCCCTCTAAAAAGAACCCCCTTTTCAGGGGAAGAAAGTTAATTAGCTCCCCTCTCTATTCCCCTTCCCTCCTCTAATTATTCTTAATTAATAAATGATAAATCGGTCTTAATCAATCACGACTGTAAAACGTGTGGACTGATCCGGGGTGGATTTATTTACCAACTGGAAGTTCGGATTTGATTCTGATCCTCGGCTGCGTGACCTCCAACCTTCTTGTGCTTGAGCTTTTCCATTTTGTATTCTAGTTCTTTATGGAGAACTGATACCATCGTCGTTTCTAAATTAAATAAGCCCCCCGTTTCTATTAAGCTCCCCCTCAAATGGGCTTGAAATAAATAAGCCCCCCGGGGGGGAGCTTAATAGAGGATTTACGATAATCCGGATTCAGGAATCCGGGAAACGTTTTCTATTGGATTCTGGAATCCTGGGCTGTGGAACCGGAATTCAGCCCAAGGAATCTGGAAACCCGCTAACGATTGAAATCCGGAATCCAAGTTCCACTGAAAACAAATCTGGGATCCAGTACCTGGATTCTGGAATCCACAGCGTGGAATCCAGCATTTACGGCTGTATTGGATTGCCTTACATAAGGCTACATGGAGGTTAACAGAAAAGCCTTTGTACTGAAGCGCTCCAATGCGTGATAAAGAAATATATCGAGTAGAGTTTTACCCACCTCCCTTGTAACTGGAGAACTTGCAAACTCATTAAGGTAATGCCTTTGTTTCCTGTTCAAGTAGTAATGCTGTAAGAAGAAGGTGGCTTTATATCCCAAGCTTACAATTGTAATCACCAAGGAAAGTAAAAGAATAGTAGTTTGAACTGACTGTTTCCAAATTGCCGCGGGGTCTGCAAACAAAAATTGCCCAGGACAAGTTGGGTTGCAGTGCGCTCCAACACAGCTGTCAATCAAAGTCATAGAAGAGCCATTTGACTGCATCCATTTTGCTATGAAGTCTTTGATGTTGCTGCTGTAAGCTTTCGTTTGGATCTTTGTCGATTCCCACGTTCCACTCTGTATCTTATGGCTAACAGAGGAATAAACATACGTATAAATAGTAGTACAATTGAGCCAAGATTTGGTCTGGTCCAAGGGTAATTACAGATTAGAAATGCGTCCGATAGGAAAAGGAAGTAGTGAAGTGATTTCCGTTCATGGTCATTCACATGATTTCTCGCGAGGCACCATAGAAACCAGTTAGCGGCGGAGAGAAGGTCCCTGGATTAAATTTGTGCAAAGCGAGATAATTGAGCATTGAAAACAGAAAAAAGATCGATGAGAGACGCCAATTAAAACTACGTCATTTAAACATAAAAATAACGGAGGTGTTCGTCGGAGCCCTCAAAGATACCAGAATCTGTCTTCCTTTGTTGGCGTGGCTAGTTCATTTTGAACCCTTCACTCCTAGTAGCTGCCATTCAGCAACAAATTTCCCCCCAAAATTCAAATTTACTTTTGCAAAATACTGAGAAAGAATAAGTGGGATGCAAAAGTCTTGCCAGAGAGGTTTTATTAGAATGGTATTATCATAGGGTTTCGTCCACACATGCCAAAGTTAACATGGCGAATCAGCGGGTCCAATTCGAAAACAATAGGTATTGTTTTCTGTTGTAAAATTGGCCATATTCGGTCATTTTTGAAATGACTTAAACAATGGCGTCTGTACACATGCAAAATTCCGATGACTACTGAGGCGGTAAATTTGAAACTTCGGCGAGTGTCAAGGAGTGAACAGTATTGATCGGGGGGAGGGTAAGGGTTATGCACCTATCAATGTAATGCCGGCGGGGGCAGGGCATAGGGTGGGGATTTGACTTTTTTCAAAAATTTGCAATCATGTCAGTCAAATGCAACCAAATTTCCCCACCCCAGGCTGCACATTGCTGTCAATCCCAAGGCAGAACCTAAGAAAGGCACAATAAAAATATCTCCAAATAAAACTCTGCAATCTTTTATAAACTTTGCTGCATTAACAAAGATGCATGTTCCTGTTACAGCTGCATTTATACGTTTTAACCATAATCCGTGTTACACTGCGTAGAATACATAAACCTTTCGGAGAAAGTCCACATTTTGTAAGTCTAAATATACTGTTCTTAGTAAAAGGTACAAAGAAAGTCAGTTTTATAAGTTTACAGTGATTGTAGCGAATGAGCCATGGATACACTAATCAATTGTACTTGCAAAATCGACTTAGTTTCTCTTTACTTCCGTTTACTTTGATACCACAGTATTTTAAGAGGTTCAATTGATCAAAACACGCTAAAACAAACGAAATTTAAATACAAAACAGTGAAATCCACTCAGCCTTCGCTTGTTCTCTTTGGCCTCCATGACTTCCTGATCTTCTCAAACCGTATGGTGCATGCGTGAAGCGTGGAAGCGGGAAACATATTCGGTATCAGTCTTTTTCGTCCGAGTCGGCAGTCAAATATCTCCACGTCGGGCGAAGAAAGATTCAAATATCCCCTCCCCCGGGAGAACAAGATCAGTCAAATGCCCTACCCCAGGGACAACAAAGACAATCAAGTCCCCACCCCATGCCCTGCCCCCCCCCCCTCCGGCTTTACATTGATAGGTGCATTACATTTGCCTCTGAGAGAAACTCACTCAGAGGGAGAGGGACAAAAATACTATCGTCACCCTATCGGTTCGGTTACACAATTGCAAAGGTTGTTTAAGGCCCTTTGCGAATATTGTTCAGACTGCATTCAAAGATTTTTTTACAAGTTTTTAAATTCAGCTTTCAAATCTCGCTCTTCATTGATTCATTTGAATAACTAATGGCGCACTCATTGGGTTATTAAGTTCAAAGTGGTAAACTTAGCATTCAAAACTCGTGCTTCGTCGATTCATTTGAATAAATTCGCACACAGCTACCAGGAGAAAAAAATCTTTCATTTCAGTCTCCTACAAACTGTTTCATCGAAAAGAGCGGGATATACTGTCGCTTTTGATTTCGCTTCGCAAGGCTTCCTTGCTTTTCACAGCGTTATCAAAAAAGCATTGAAATTCTGTGCTTCAGTTTTCTGACAAACAGAATGAATAAAAAGGCTCACATCCCATTCAGCTATTGAACTAAAGCGTGCCCTGTTCGTGCCTTGTTTTAGCCGCGCGCGTACACGTTCTAATCCTACTTCTGCGTAAAGGCGTTTTCGTCACGAAAACTTGGCTCAGCTTTCGAATTGTTCTATAACTCTTCTAGCAATATTTATCTTTTCGCGTGCTTACCGGCAATGGGATATTAAAGGGCAAACAAAAACAATAGACGACAAAGTCACACATCCTGTTCAACTAGTTCAGCTTTCAAATCTCGCTCGCGCTTCATTGATTTATTTGAATAACTAATACACGCACTCAGTGGGTTATTAAGTTCAAAGTGGTAAACTCAGCATTCAAAACTAGCGCTTCGTCGATTCATTTGAATAAATTCGCACACGGCTACCCGGGGAAAAAAATCTTTCATTTAAGACTCTACAATTTGTTTCATCGAAAAGTGCGGGGCATATTGTCGCTTTTGATTTCGCTTCGCATGGCTTCCTTGCTACTCACAGCGTCATAAAAAAGCATTTAAATTCTATGCTTCAATTGTCTGACAAAGAGATGAATAAAAAGTCTCACATCCCTTTCAGCTATGTGAAAAAGCGTGCCCTGTTCGTGCCTTGTTTTATCCGCGCGCGTGCACGTTCTAATCCTCTTCAGCGTAAGTCGTTTTCGTCATGAAAACTTGGCTTAACTTTGGAATTGTTTTATAACTCTTCTAGCAATATTCTTCTTTTTGCGTGCTTACCGGCAATGGAATATTAAAGGCCACACAAAAACAATAGACAACAAGGTCACACATCTCATTCAACTCTAAAACAGCTAACCATGTGTGTCTCATTTTTCTGCAAATGTTTTATCTGTCGTCGAACTCGCATGTTCATTTTTTTATAGAGAGGAATTGATCAAGAGTTCATTGCCCTCGCCAATACTAACAACAACAAGCGAACAACAATGATCTCAAAAATCTCACCTTCGTGAAGTTCCGCCCACAGGATAACAAAGCATATCGTTCTTAACGTTTCGGAATGATCGTAAAAGTAAACTAAAGACTAAAATTTTTTTTCTTTTCTTTTCTCGGGAGAATAAAGCTGCGCACACAAAAAAGTGGAATAATTTTTCAGCGGGAAAAGTTTGTGGATTACAAAGATTGTGAAAACGTATTCTGGGCCGCTTAGGTGAGAATAAGAACGAAAGTCGTTTAATCTTAGAAAAAGGTATGGATTACATTCAAAGATCACAACTTTGAATGTAGGACGCGCAAATAATAAGTTTGTTTTAATAACGGTTTAAGAACGTTCTCTGTAAGGTATTTCTGAAATCATATTTTTTTGTTCAGAGGGCTCAGTATAAAAGCACGATCCGATCAAGAGCATCGCTTCAAGGCAAAAAAACCTCTCTTCTCCCCCCTAGTATTACAGATTTGTCACGCCGAAGATTAAACGATCATCCACAGACTGTTCGGTCCTTTTTTAGCAGCATCACCTAGGACAAAAGGCTATTATTTTGGTGAATTGGACCCGGTACAATCGACCATTTCTTGATGGCTGATCCCTCGGTAAACAGTTTATTTTGTTTCCCCAGAATCTCGATGTTCCTACGAGGGAAACAAAATTAACTGTTTCCCGAGGGACCAGTCTTTAAGTGATTTGTTATATAGCTGCAAATTTTGAAGCTGGAAATTCATTAAACCTCGCTATAACTGTGGTCGTTGGTCAACATTCACGGGTAACAGTGAACTGTTACCCTCCGACGTCATAGATTTTGCAATGTTGGCCGCTCAGCGATTTTGGCGGAAAACAGTCTCATTGTTAGATGTGAGAGAGATGAGATAAATCGTTTATTAAAAAAGAAACACCTCGCAGTCCGAAGACTGAATTACGTGTATAATATACAAGTTATAGTTAAAATGGATTTAAAAAACTATAATAATAGAAATGTACAAATCTAATAAAAACATATCACTTAGGGTAACCTTGTGTTAGGAAAATATACATACTTAAACAAATTTATTTACATTCTTAAGCCATGGCTAACAATAAAAGATTTTTTAAAACGATCAGTCTTGCACACTGGCACGTATTACTTTAGACTGGCACGTAAAACTTTAAAGTGACTTCGAAATAACCAGAGAGCGTGCGCTGTTAGGAAAAAGTTTCCAGCTATATAACAATCCTAGTTATTATGGGGATCTACAGCAACAACAATAGTGCTGCATACTTTAAATAAATAGAGGAATTTTTTCGAACAATATCTAAGTCATCTGAACAAAATGATCTATTCGTTTCCACGATACAAACAATCATTTAAATTTAACTTTCATTCACACTAGCCTTACCTGTACTTGGCCGGGCCGCGTCCAACTTCAGCGGAAGGTGGCAAAACACCTCCCTCTTCCCACAAACTTGATGTGGACAGATAAATGTGCTGAAAGCAGGCCGGCGCAAAAATGCTCACATTTGAAGCTTGAGTTCCTATCAGACTGATAGATTCATTCATTGCCCCACCATACATACTAACGAGGGTTAAATAATCTGCAGAGTTATCTGTTGCAGTATTTTCTTGTGTGTCTTGTGCACTAAAAACATCCCCAAGCATAAAAAGGTCGTATATGCTCGAGACTATAAGTAACGGGACGTCCGAGGGATAATACCCGCGCGCTATCATACACGATGCCGAAGGGCAGCAAATGTAGTCGCGTGATGTATCTTGACAAGCTGCCGATGTAATGTTCGCAAATGACATAAATCTGGGTCTAACTTTGGCTTCCAAAGTGTCCTGAAAGTTTATGAACCATCCCGAGTCGACAATACTTTTTAATTTAGCATTTAAACCTTGAGCTTTAATCACGTGGTCCAAGACCCAGCCTGCGTGATTTAGAACACCGATTCCCCCAGCACTGCTACCAGAAAGGACAATTTCCTCCGCTTCTCGGAGATTGTATTCCCTAAGTAAATCCGTGAAGAGAGTACGGAAAATCGTTTGACCTCTAAAGCTGAAATTATCAACAGAGGAATCGTTGATGAAACGGAACGGTTCCTTTGGATTTGTCCTCTGTCCCAGCCATAAGTCGCTGCTGCAATACGGTACAAGAACATGACGATAATTATAAAAAGACGGATTTTCAGTTTGAGATGAGGATAACAAATCCCTTCCAATTACTTCCTTGGGCATCAATGTCGAAGTCATTAACACCGTCGAGTTTTCATTCAAGTACCGCTTATTGCAGTCCACCAACGAAGCACAAAACCCTCCGCTTTCAAAGAACAGAATCCATTTGTTACTCGACTGAACTCCGATAAAGAAAGTTGCTCTGGAATTATCATTACATACGGCGTCTGAGTCACTCATATATCTTCTCTGCAACGGGTTCACTGATTTCTGACTTTCACTCCAGACGAATTGCATCAGTAACACTTGTAGAAGCAAGATTGTGTTTGTCAAAATCATTTTTCTTTATGTCTCTGGCATCATCTTTCGCAACAACTAGGTGTTTGAATTATAAAAATCTCAACTCTTTTGTTTACGACTTTTGTTGACCTCGACCAATATTAGCATAATATTAGAGTAATATCATTCTGTCATTCTGCTTCGCTATAAAATGAATGCCACTTATTTCTATTGTTTTTCTTTAGTTATGCGGAGTAAAAGAGCCCAACAAACACTTATAATCTGAAGAGGGACGTTACGTGCGTTCAAGGCCCGGCACGCAGGCATTAAGCCACCCATTTCAGAAAAGCGGAACAATTGCAAAATCTACTGAAGCAAGCTCAAATCTAAGGCTGCCTTTTTTGTTTCAACGTCCGTTTTTTAATGATGTACCATTGCTACTATTTTTGGAGGAGTTTTAAGTTTTTAAAATGGGGCACTTGTCGTCGATTTTAAAGGTAGTCTTCATTTAATATGTTAGATTTTGTCGTAAAAACGTCATCGCAATTTCGTTCGGTGGCGAAGCATTTTCTAAAACATCTATATCCACGTCGTTGCGTGGGAATTGTCGAGCATTGCTTAACACGCTAATTGAAAAATAAAACTATGTTTGCATCAGCGAACTACTGCTATTTTCTTAAATTGGAAAATGTAATTTCCTGAATGTTTGGCATCAGTGACGACATTTATAATCCATCAGCGAATCAATATCGCGAGCGATCGTGCGTGATAACAGGAACTTTTTACTCTTTCTTGAGTGAAAAATCGAAGCAGAGTAGTAAAAATGAATAACTTGATTCAGGTTTTTTTTCAGTCGGAAGGTCGCAATCAGAAATAACAGTACGCATGTTAGAAAATGTGATACATATATAGCATTTTTGTGGACTGAATCCGGGCTCCTTAAGCTTATCATTTTCTATTTTATTACTAAAGAAGTATGCAACGACTGACAAAGATAACTCTACAGAAGTGCAACGACTGGCTGACATCGATAAGTCTCGGCTACAGAGTTACAACATGTAGCTGAAAGTATGTGCCCAAAAAGCATCATATCCGCAGGAAATACGTGACACCCTGTAATAATTATATTCCGCCTGTTTCCTAGCCTCCCACCCATCCTGCCCCACAAACGTCTGCTGAATCGAGTGGTTACTTGATCGATTTGATTGCTATTAAAGAACAGCCGCGCTATAATCTCCGTTCAGCTAGCGGTCATATCTTAAAGTATCCTAGTTTCCCGCCTAGTTTAAAACTGAAAAAGACTTTAGGGGGTCGTTCTTTTTCATCTGCTGCCCCTAATTTATGGAACAATCTGCCCCTTCACATCCGCCTTGAGGACAATTTTGAACGTTTTAAATCTTTACTTAAAACGCATCTTTTTAGAATAGCTTTTGATATGTAATTTTTTTACTTACTATGTAATATATTTAGTGTTTTTTTTATCTTTATTTAATTTTTAGCGTTGTTTATTCTTAGCCTTAATTATTTTGCTCATTTTAGTTTTTATTTTCTTTTAACATTTACGTGTTGTCACGCGCTTTTGTTCATATTTGCATGGAAAAGGCGCGTTATAAATTTTTAATTATTATTATTATATTATTATTATTAATTATTATTAAATTCCTTACCCATCGTTCGCAGATATCAGCTGGAGTTCACATGCAGATTATTGGAGAACCAAATCTGTCATTTGGGTCTGTGAAAGGGCTCAAAAGGGCAAACAGATGAATTTTATGGCTTTATAAAGTCGAGAAAACGTTCTATTTTTGTGATTGATTCCTATTTAAAAGACAGTGCATTTACAGCAGTTAAAAGGGATGCAAAGTTCTAAACAAGGTATGTGAAAGGGGTACCATTTGTCAATAGAAGGTATACGAAATGGGTACCTTTTTCGTGAAAAATGGTATATAAAAGGGTAAGGGGTTGGACCTCGGGGCGGAGCCTCCCCGTATAAACATTTGTTGAGTACCCTGACAAGCGCGAGCGTTGTCCAGTACTCACAAATCGACTCCACTGGCGTTAGTGGTGATAAGAAGGGTGTCCATTGGTACCAATGGTAGGAATCATTGGTGCCAATAGAAAATAATGTAATTCCAATGGTTCTATTGGTTAATATGCATCTCATTAAGGGGACCTTTTCTCGTGTGGCCTGTCTGGGTACAGGGCAATTCCGATGGTTCATTGGTACCAATGGTACAATTGGTACCAATAGAAAATGGTGTCATTCCAATGGTTCTATTGGTTAATATGCATCTCATTAAGGGGAAGGGTGTCCATTGGTTCCAATGGTAGGAATCATTGGTACCAATAGAAAATAATGTAATCCCAATGGTTTTATTGGTTAAAATGCATCTCATTAAGGGGACTTAGATTATTTTCTCGTGTGGCCTGGCTGGGTACAGGGCAATTCCGATAGTTGATTGGTACCAATGGTACAATTGGTACCGACAGAAAATGGTGTCATTCCAATGGTTCTATAGGTTAATAAGCATCTCATTAAGGGGAAGGGTGTCCATTGGTACCAATGGAAGGAATCATTGGTAACAATAGAAAATAATGTAATTCCAATGGTTCTATTGGTTAATATGCATCTCATTACCAACATCAACAACTCACTCAGTTGGACAAAGCAGGCTGTGGAGGTGGAAAAGAAAGCGAATAAAATCCTAGGCGTCAGATCCAAAGGAACTTATTCTCTTGTAGCGCTGTTGTCAAGGAACGGGCCTATTTGTCCCTGGGCCGCCCTGTATGCGAGTACGACTCCGTCGCCTGGAGTCCATCGCACAAAAGGACATAATCTGTGTTGAATCCGTTCAGCGTCGTGCGGCGCGCTTTGTTTGTACCGATTACTGTCGTTCCAGTAGCTTTAATACAATATTATCGAACCTCGGTTGGCAAGATCTTGAGACATGTACGAAGATCACCGATTTGACAATGTTTTTTAAGATAAAGACAGGAAATGTACGGATATCTTTCCCAAACGACCCACGCGAGGTGCACTGTCCCTACTTGACCGGAAGTAGTGCACAACACCCATTCCAGTTCCAGCGTTCAGTCATCTACCATTAACGCGCACAAGTGTTCTGTTTTCTTAAGAACTGTTCCCGCTTGGAACTCTTTGTCTCCTGTTTCCGTAAGTGATGATTCCGTTGCTGTGTTCCATTCAAGTATTTGCAATAATGTTATGTTTTGACGATTTTTATTTATTTATTTATTTTTTTTCATATGACTTGTAATTTCAATTGTATTTATTTAGTTATTTGTTTTCATTTTGTTTATTTATCTCGCTGTCAATGTCATGAGCTTCTATGTACTGACCGTCCATTGCCATATTAGCTCGCTAGAAGCAATGACATCAATTAAAGATTAAAGATTAAAGGGGACTTAGATTATTTTCTCATGTTAGGCGTAGCGAATGGTACCTCGAAAAACGTGGGTCTCGGAAAATTTTGTCAGGATCTCGAAATCTCGGAAGCGTCTATGATAAGTCTCGAAGTCTCGTTTTTTGATGGTTTGTTTTTACTTTTTTGAGTCTCGAAACTTTTTACCAAAGAGTCTCGGGCTCGGATCATCCGCGTCTCGGCGAGTCTCGGATTTTACCATTCGCCACCCCTCATGTTGCCTGGCTGGGTACAGGGCAATTCCAATGGTCAATTGATACCAATGGTTAAGAGCGAAATTGTTTTGCGTGGTTGGCTTATAGAACGAAGAATATTCATAATAACTATTAGCGCGTTTTACTTGGTGTAAAAAGGAACTTGTTTTGCATAGATGGCTTATAGAACGAAGAATACAGATGGCATGTTTGTATTTCGACCTCGCTATATTATAACTGTTAGCAATTACTATTAGCGCTTGTTCGACCTCGCTTTGTAACTATTAGCGCATTTCTTCTTTGCGTGAGAGAGAAATTGTTTTGCGTGGTTAGCTTATAGAACGAGGAATATTCATAACAACAATTAGCGCGTTTCTACTTGTGTGACAGAGAAATAGTTTCGCGTGGTTGGCTAATAGAACGAGGAACATTCATAATAACTATTAGCGCGTTTCTGCTTTGTGCGAGAGCGAAATTGTTTTGCGTGGCTGGTTTATAGAACAAAGAATATTCAAAATAGCTATTAGCGCGTTTTTACTTGGTGTAAAAGCGAACTTGTTTTGCATAGATGGCTTATAGAACGAAGAATACACATGGCATGTGAGAAAATAATCTAAGTCCCCTTAATGGAAGCATACCAATCGTACCTTTGGTACCAATAGACCAATGGTTTGACGAATCGTATCCGTTTGTGTATATTGGACATGTGTGAAGCGTTGGCGTTTTGTATATTTCTCTTTGCAAAGGATGGATTAGATGTCATTTGCTCATAAAGTTGTTCTGTGAATGAGGCAACCGCGGGGTTGTACGTTGTAACTGAACAAAAGGCAGAATTTTTTTTTCGCACTTAATTGTTTTGCAGTAAAGCAGACTTTCGTTCAGCAAATTAAACCTCCGAAGTAATTTTTTCAATGAGATTGTGGGGGTAGTCTCTAGTAGGAAGGCGTGTGACTTAACTGGGTAGTTTGTTCTAAAAGTGTAATAAGGTCTTCACCTTTCGAGACCTTTCTGAACTTTTCTGGAGCTGAGTCTCGCGCAAAATTTCTCAAGGTCGAAAGTGCACTTCCCAGATCTGGAAGCCCGTGCTGTGATTGGTCTGTGTTTCTACCGCTCGATTCAGCAGACGTTTGTGAGGCTTGGAGCAGGAACGCGTGACGAACCGCTAAGAACGTCTGACCTGTCTCCTAGCCGCATTACCTCCGTTGGAACTTCGCGGCACTGAAGATTAGGAATGCGGATGTTTTAACGCAATATTAAATAATTTCAGTTCATTTTTTGCGGGCAATTTCGAGGAACCGGCGATCATAATCATCACGGTGGTTACAACTTAGCATGGGTGGGCCGTTAAAACATAACTGAAATTCATTTTCTTATGGAATCTGGAATTCCACCAATTTAAAACCCGGAAATCAGCCCGTTATACGAATCAATGACTACCCGGAAATGTTTGCTTGTGGAATCTGGAATCCTGGGATTTGAATCCGAAATTCACAGCTTGAAATCCATAATCCAAGACTTTGTTGGATTTCCTCACATGAGGCAAAATGATTTTGCACTTTTCAACACCAGTGTATATTTAGTTATATTGTGAAACTTCCTGCTGAAGTGAGTTTTAACGTTAGTCTCACGAGCAGGAGACAATAACTAGAATTTGTTTATGCGCTTTAGCAAACAATGTTTGCCTGTCGGCGTTAATCCTTTAAGCCCCAGGACTGACCAAAATCAATTTTCTCCTAATGATATCAACATATAATCCAGAAAAAAATGTTGTGAGAATTAATAAAGTGATCAACCTTTGGAAAATGCTCTGATCTTCAAACAAGTTCTCTCAACTAATTCTGTAAGGAAATGTATGGAGATCAGTCAGGAGAATTTGTATTTAGATATAGAGGCTTAAAGGGTTAACCATGCACTCTTAGAGTGGGGGTTTACTCCATAAATGCAAGCTGGGGCAAACTAGCTATAGAGTTAAAGTATGTTCTTTTAATTAGTAGCTATAAGTATGTTCAATTCCATCTTTAGTCTCAAAAAATAATACCAAACAAAAGGGAAATAAATTATTTATATATTCATCGAAAGAGAACTGTCATCATCCAGTCTTCGAATAGTAGGCTAATGCGCATGACCAAAAGTAAATAGCAAGACTACAGGACAGACCAACAACTGGTGTATACCAGGCTGAAAGAACAAAATATTGAAAAATGATAAGGGTAAAGAGTTAATATGTTTGGATTGAAATGCTAGCATTATGCTAGCCCGCGCTGCAGACGTAATTATGTAATTTGACTTCGGTTAGCAACGACTGTGAAGCAGCGCGGAAATCCTTGTTCGACTGGGCCCCCAACGGACTCAACGAATTTCCGGAAGTGCGTTACGAATTTCCCTTCAATCTGATTGGCAAATCGACAATGACATTTTTAACAGGTCAATCATGGCGCGTGGGCCCCGACCTGTGTACCAGGATTTGAGTAGAACAAGGATTTCGCGCTGTTTCGCAGACAGATTTAACAGGAGTTTAGTTTCGTCTGCGGCACAGGCAAGGGGAACTATTTTGAGATTGCGCCCGCGGGGTGTTAAACATAAAGAATAATGCTCAAACTTCGATGCCTTATTAAGAATTAATAATGGTCTAAAGCGGTAAGGGAGGGTATTTTTAAGATGGCCCTGGAGCAAAGGCATTATTCATTGTCTTTGAACCAACAGGTCACTAGTGTTCACTGAATTGGAACAATTGATCTAAATATTTCTTTAACAAAAGTTAATTAAGGTATATACAGTGGCATAAAAATAGCGTAAACATCGGAAGATTAAAAAAAACGTGAAAAACTTTATGAAGAAAAACTTGGTCCGCATTTTAAACTAGGTGCGAGATAAAAAGCGATAAAATGAAACGGACAGTAAATCATTGAGGGACCGGAGAGCTATCTGTTTTTAACCCCCCCCTTTCCCACCCCGCTCCTACCAGATTCAAACCAAGTTTATATTAAACATGACATACCCATTTCTTCCTCATTTTTATTAGACTCATCATCCTCGCTTTCAGCCCCGTCCCAATTGTCATAGCAACGTTGAACATTGATCAGCGGTAACAGCACAGGCTTGGTAGGTAAGCTCATCGTGCGTTTTGAACGCTGTTTGAGAGCAATGATGGGCTGACTCTGTGGTTTGAGGGAATGGGAACGAGTGCTGCGTGACCGAGTAGACAGTCGGGAAGTGTCTCCATCAAAGGACATTTTAGCTGATTTTTTGTGAGTCTGTGGCAAAGCAACAAAGTTATGTAGTTTTTATTTTCTAAATATAACATTAGTCACCTCTCCCATAAGGTCCCCTGTTTCAAGACGGTTCAGTATACAGCAGAGATCCTTCCAAGATGGACACTAACTGCCTACGCAGTCAAAGCGGTCAGTCCGAGAGAATTGAATGCAAATTTATGCCCCATTCACACCAAAGCTTTAACACGTTTAAAATTTGTTTAGTAAAACACGGTTCAAAATTGTTTCTTTCATAAAAGTTTCCTACTGACTGACATGTTACATGATGTTGAATTCCATTTGAATCCTGTGTGAAAACCTGTGCTCAAGTTTTCCATGTCTGTTTTTCAGTTTTAAAACCTCGTTTAAGGTGGCTGAACACAGTTTTGCTTTTGTTAACTCGCGTGACGGCGGCGTGTTTTAAATTACACAAACAAACATGGCGGCGAAAAAAGCAATTGTACACAGAAGACGATTTCATAAAATCTTCTCATTAAAACTTTGTGATATTTGGCAGAATTTTTTCTTTTATCGTATTTTAACTGTTGATTATCTAAAAACCCAACTGTTAAAATTTGATCCAATAAGTTTCAAATGGTAATGATTAATTATAGTAAGCTGTGTGCAAGTTTATAGGAAAATCTAATGAGCGAATTTTATGTAAACTGAGCAACTCAAAGTGAAATTTTAAGGTTGTATTCAATCGATCGTGTTGACATGGAAACAACGAAAACGTCACATTTTACCTGTCAATCAAAATGTTCCTCAGTATATTTTTTATTTGCCGAGCTTCAGCTTGTGAGCTCCAACCTTTTTCTTGCCATGATTAGGCAAATGACATATACTCACAGACTGCTGAAACTGTGTTCAGCCAACTCAATTATGTTACGTTGGTGTGAAGGGACATAAGAAGGTTAAGATCTGAAAACCCAAGCGTTTTAAAACCTGCCGCGGGTAAATGAAAGAATTATTATTATCATTACCAAATATCATCATTATCATCATCATCATCATCATCATTATTACTACTATGATTATTTTTATTATTATTATTATCATTATTGTAATTATTATCATCATCATTATTATTTGGGAGAATAAGCCGTACTTTTTTGTGGTGCTGTCATTAGGTGGAGGTAGATGGTTCTGAATATGATCGAACGAACATTGAGTTTGTGTAGTGCAACATATTCTACGCCACCACAGAGATGAAAACTATTGTGAAGTTTACTCTGTACGTATTCTGAAACTCATAATTATATTCACCGTCAGGCGAATGGTTTCCTTGAGCGCATCTTGAAGAGGAAAACTTTAGGTGTGAACAGATTCAAATTCACTTTCGTCTAGCTAAGAATATTTTCGGTGCGAAATTTGTTTTCTAAGTGTACATTTCTTTATTAGAAAATAATTGTACTTTATTAGCCAAACAAGTAACGTATACGTGCTTAGCCCAAGATACGATTGCTAGACTGACATGAAATGTTCAAGTAAAGAAAAATTTGCCTCAACTTGATTAAGAAATGAAATCCCTCAGTTTCCTCGCGTTATACCTAATTTACAATGTCTTATATGGGGAAATAACAAAAATTTTGCTCTTAAAATTCATAAGCCCTACTAGCGCCCTTGTTGATGCATTATAACAGTGCCTAATACAGAAAAATATTTTTCTTTAACTGTAAATAAACGTATCGTTTAGCGTCTATGACAAACACTGTGATTCTGCGGACAGTGTGAAGGGAATAATATTTCATTACCTAACTTGGACGGAACACGACGAATTATTTATGTCCAATGAGTTGAGTATAAAGGAGCATAATTTTCCTTACAATGTTTTTTTTCCTTACCTAAATCAAATTTGGGAGCCTTCCATTAACTTGATGATCGCGTCTTTTGTCGCACGATACAGAATTTCAATTTGTTTGCCCGAGATTATCCCTGCTTTTAAGGCGTTTGTGGGCAAATATCAGCTGGACTCTCTTTCAGTACGGATCAGAATCAGGTGCTTTTTGAAATCGAAAATAAAAAAAACTCAGCTGAGGAATAACGTTGTCTTATTCAAAGCAAATGTCTATGGCGATAGATCATGATCTAAGCCATAAACGAGAGCAATATTTTTGATCGAAATCGCGAAACGTCAATTAATAGTACTTGTCATTTTGAGCTCCAAATGGAAGTTATTTGATCAGTCGTATGTAAACGCGAAGTGAAACAATAGCCAAATAAAATTGGAACAAAACGTATGTCATCCCGAGGCAGTCTCGTTGACAGCTCGTTAAGTAGAAGGCTGTAAAGAAAGCTAACAATTGACTGAAAGGAGACTTAGTGAAAATTTGAATATTATGAAAATGTCAGTAATGTAGTTGCCCGGGGGAATGAGCTACGGTAGTACGTTGGTGCCTCACGATAACGCAAACAGTAGCTAACAGTAAAACCTCGATAAAACGAGGAGCCGAGGGATCTACTGGCATTGTTCACTATAACGAAGTTTCGTTATCAGTGTCGCGGTTATTCACCATATATCTTACTAATACTGGTCGAGGATGTCGTTCGTTATACCCATGACTTCGGCGTTGTGTAGGTTCGTTATATCAAGGCTTTATTCTGCGGAGTTTCATGAGGTGCGTTTAAGATATCACCCATTTAGTTGGGTTCCTTGAAATATTTTTTGGGCACAGTGTAAGACCGATCTGACCTGTATTGAAACTATACCCTCTAAGCTGAATTGTTGAGAAAAAGACGACGATTTGCCATGAGCGGAGCCGGATAATCTCAAGAGCGCGGAACGAACAAGTCTTCTTAACAGTTTTCACGGTCCTTTTTAAATAGCATCCGACGTCATATTTTAGTTCCAGGCTCAAAAAAGATTTCAATTTTCAATTTTATTTCCTTTAAACAGGATCGAGTCCCCCCCGCCCCAGCCCGTCTAAGGAACAGTTGCCAGGCATTCAAAAAATTATCGAACTAATCGACAAATGCGACAAAAAAAATGCCAAAAATAAGATTTTGATTTAATTTTCTGTAGCTATTTGCCGGCAACTCAGAACCAATAGGCCAAAGAAAAAACTTTTTACAGTATCCTGTATTTTACTGCGAAAAAAATGGTAAAAATGTCTTAAGATTTGTTGGCGATAGCCTCAGATACCTTATTTGAATAAAACAACACCCGGCTACAAATCATAAAGACGTTCTTCAACCGACATAACTCAAAGTGCGCCCGGGTGTGAAATTGTCTCCGATCGTTCCAGGTTTAATACATAGGATAATTATAGTTTGATTTAATCATCATCAAGACAATTCGGCAGCGTTTTTCTTCCGGCAATGAAGCTGGCAATGCTGCGAAAGCAATTCTTTAAATTTCTGTTGAGTTGACTTTAAAGAAAAAAAAAAGTGATAATCATTGTGGAAGGAGATTTCTGAATACGATTTTCATTTTCTTCAAAGATTAGCCATGCTAAACAAATAAAATTTGTCATGATATCTCCGTTCTTCATATGATATATGTGGTAATCCAAAAAAAAAAAAAACTTTTAGCAAATGACACGACACATTTCGTGTTCATATCTACTTAGAATGATGACGGAAAAGCGATTGAGCTCGAATCGCGTAGTATATTCAAATAGAAGGTGTTGATTGGTTCTAGGAAGCATTAGTGCGTAAAACATAGAATAAACACGGAGATAATATTAAAACCTTTCTACAACTTAACAGGGTTTTTTTGTCTACGTTCAAAAATATAAATTAAAGCAGTTCCGGAAGGAGACATTACAATATTAAAATAAATGGAAATTTAATAGAAAGATGAGTAAATTGCTTACGATATGCTAATTCATAAGACACGTCTGTTTTACAAATAACAATTGGATGAGGCTGAGTATAATGTATTAAAGAATTATGCAGATCGTGGAGTTGTCATCCGTCGAGGCCTTTTTTCATTTCTTATGAAAGCCAGGAGCCCATAACCCGAAGAGTGTTACTCCCACACTTAGCCTAAGCAACGGCGTTTTCACAGATCAAGTTATTTTTGCAGCATTTTTACCTGAAAAGAAGAAGTGAATGCTATCAAAACATCAAAAAGACTTTCTTCTAGTCTCCGGTTTTAATGGCTAATTTGTAAGACTTATTTGATATTCAAAATTCGCGGGAAAATCGATCTAAAAATAAACTGGTCTGCTGAAAACGCCTTTGCATGGCACAAAGGAGTTGCTGACTGCAGGTTAAGGGCTCCTCTGAGAGCCGAATTAAAACTCAGAGCACGCTAACCTTTTTTAACGTTCCTACCGTTTTCAAAACATTTGCTTGTTTTTCGGCAGCTCCAGGATATGAGGGGATGTTTGTACTACTAGATTTTCTTCACATAGAACTCACGGCTGTCTCTGTCCACACGTATTATGATGCATTCTTGCTTGCTTCTTACTATTGCCAAATCTTCCGCCATTTTTCCAGCCGGCTGTACCGCCAACAGCTGAGCCACCGCGTCGCTTCCTATGCGGGTCGTTAATGCGTGCCTTTTTTACCCCTCTCGCTTTCTTATGTAAATCAAGTTGTTTTCACGCTAATTAGTATTTTTGAACAAAAGAGGAAACAAGTTAGTCAGCGTCTCATTCACTCCTGAAGGACAGGGTACTAAGCTCACAACAGGATAAAAAAGAATAGTTAAGCAATAGACCACACTTACTTGGGATGTTGGGAGAACACGAGAAAAGCTTCTAAATCACGAGCTCGTGACTTACAAGCTTTTCATTGTTCTCCCAACATCCCAAGTGGGTTATCACGCCAGTAAACCCACGTAGAAAGTGTGGTCTATTGCTTTTATAAAAAAACTTTAAGTTTTCTATGAGTTTATTGGCACAATAAACCATAGGTTTTTAACCAATCAAAACGCGCGTCCTATGTTAGTTATTTTATAAAATGGAATATAATAGGATACAGTAGAATATAATAGAATAGAATAAGTAATATTACTGTGCTTTTATCGATGTAAATCGGTTCATTTCATATTCTTGTCTAATCACATACTAAGACACATACTCTATTCACTAAACTAAATTTAGTGAATATAATACTGAACTGTAAAAATTAATGGTCTATTATAATCCGAGGTGACCCCTGCAGTCCCGTCGCGAATTCATCTTGGGCCTGGGCCTTTCACATAATGCAGAAACAGAACAAAACTAGCCTGGTAACCAGTGATTTTTTTAACTACTGCAAATGGCATTGACAAAGTGATATACTGCAGAACAGTCCGTATTTTTGCGTATTCAAGTACGCGCGAGCAGCCAAACAAAAGGTCTGCAGCGAGGCTTGAAAACGGACCGCGAAACTGGGGAGACTCTTAGGCTACGCTTTACCGATTTTGAGAAAAAAGCGACTGTTTTGTAGTTCTGACAAAGTGAAAGAGCTACCCGACCGAAAGCTGTCGACGAAAGGGGGATGAGGACTTTTAAGCAAAACTGAATGCAAGGCTTGCAATACGGCAAAGGGCTGATTTATGTTGGGTCAATGTTTCGGCTAACAAAGTAGTCTTCCCCAGTCCCTCTTTCTCTGGTTTGAGGCTTTTGGGACGGGGATTTTATGGTTAATACCTCTATGGACCTTAATCAAATTTAATCAGACTAGTTCCTACACAGGTTATTGGCTCTATTTCTTTTCATCCTCTCGGTTGATTATCATTTTCTGAATTTCAACAGCCTGCATGGCTATTAATTGATGAACCTTTTTGCGGCAAAATGTTTCCCAGTTTGGCCGCGCGCGAAACAAAATGCGTCGACCGACGCAAATTCGTTCCCAAGACGCAGTAAAATAATACTGAATCAGGTCAATAAACATTCTCGCTTCCATGGTGCAAATTTTGGTTCCCACGGAACAACGTTCTCTTGTTTGCACGCCCAATAATGAAAAGAAAAGTGTTTCCGTACGCAATATTTCCTCTCCTGGTCCTGAGGTTCTTTTTGAATTTAGCCTTTATTTTGTTCAAAGGTGTAATCTCTTCAGTACCAAAGCACTTTTTTTTGCATTTTTATGTGAATAAGGCTTTTTGTTCTTCCTCGGTGAGTGAGAGTAGACACGCCCAAGCAAACAGCAATAGGCTCAACAGCAAGCCGAGTATAGGGGCGAACCAACCTGGAAGAAAAAGTGGAAATAAAACCTACTTGTAATTAAGGGCCTGTTTACATAGAGTGGGGGACCCCGGTCTAGTAGGGTTGGTTTCTTTTGTTTTCACGCTCTGGGGGACACAAAACAAAAGAAACCTACCCCATTAAACCTGGGTCCCACACTCCATGTAAACAGGGTCTAACACGACTATATTAATCAAAAACATTGGTTTTTTAGTTTCTTACTACAGACGGGACCGCTATATCTACTTAGTCACGCGAGCCACGCGAAGACAGATGTTTGCATAGAATTAGTGGTACAGCACCTTCTTTTCTTCTGAGTTCACTTCCAGTCTGGAGAACTAATCCACGACCTACCGCAGTCTGCAGCCTTGCGTTCTACCGACTAAGCTACACGACTTGCACTTGACGTGTACACTCCGAATGGATACATTATGCCATACTCGAGCAGTATATGCTAAGAACACTTAGCCCATGGGCATACAAACAATGCTATTTTACAATGCACGCTGATTAGGCTTAGAAGAAACAATGCATTGCTACACAATACTGCAGGGGCTTATGTAATATGAAATGTTACAAAACAGTCTACGTCACGCTATTTGCGACCTTCCTTAAAAATTCAAACTTTTTTTCCCATCAATTGAATTCCAAAAATAATGGACCAGTTTGATTGGAACTTTTTTACTTTTTTTTGCAAAGGATGACAAGGATGGAAAGGATGGTTAGAGCTAATGACATTTGTTAATATCTTATTCATAACGTTACATACAGGAGCTTTTCTGTCTAGGTAAACTCAGTAAGTAGTGATTTCAGCACAGAATTGACCTAAAACAGCAATATACTCGTGACTAGCCCCTAAAGCCCTGAGCGCCGGTTATTTTAATTAGGACACTGACAATAAAAAGTCTCGTTATAAGGCTGATATAGATCAGGGAAAGTAGATAGTCCAGGGAAAGAAGGGAGGTGTATATCTGGTAAAAAATGGAGCGAGGAGAGGGAACATCAGGGGCACCCAACGACAAGTTTTGGAAAATATCTGTTCGGAAAGCGTGATTTGAGATCTAGAATTTTCGGAACATTTGTTGTTAAATTTTTTGCTTACCTGCCTCTCCTAGGATTCTCGAACCTTCTAAAAATGGTATAATTGCTCATTTTTAACGGATTTTTTTCCCTAAAAAGGTCACCTAGAAGTTTAGGGAGCCTTTTTTCTGGCCGAAATTTTCGAAAAGGTAAGTTTTGATCCTATAGTTTTCGGATCACTAGACTTTCAGCTAGGAAATCCGAACAGATGAAAAAATTTTAAGGGAATAAAAGTATGCCTATATCTATCGTTTAAATACTTAAATACGTTCAACAATGCTATGTTTAAGTGGTTTTGAACAATATTCTCGTTGGGTGCCACTGGGAACATGGACTAGAGCATAACATTACCAATATCGCAACCTTCTCCTTGTAAATGCCTCTGCATTTCCTCGGAATACTGGTCGTGAACCAACGGAGCGCATTCGGAACTTTCTGTGATCGCCGGAGGAATGATCGGCTTCTCTCGGGCGGGAAGACTAAGTGTCCTTCTTGAGCGGTGACATCCAAGCGTGGGAGGGGGGTTAAATGATTGGCTTCGAACAGAGCGTGTTTGTATGTTGCTTGTTGGTAGACACAGTGTGACACGGTCAGACATGGTAGTCATAAAAAAAGCTAAAACGAAGAAGGCAAAGAAAATTAAGGTATAATTTTAGAGTGAGTAGTTTTGCTAGGAAAAGGGAAACAGAGGGGAAAACCCCAAGAATAACCTCCGACAAAAAAAGGCAATAAGTAACATGAAACAGAGAAAGAAAATTCCCGGCTTACCCTCATCTGTAAAATATCAAATATTAGACTTCCTGTTCATTCATTATATACGTGAAAAAAATAGCCAAACAAAGCAACAGCAACAACAAAAAACATACAAAGCAAGCTAGTAGAGAAAAAAAGCCCAAGCACTAGACAGCTTTTTTTTAACTTTAGCTGCTTGTGTGTTTGCCAGTCTGTCCAGCGACGTAACTTGCTCCAAAACGCCTCAACAGCGCGTCAAGAAGAAAAATAAAACGAAAATAAACATTCAAATTATTTTAATCAAAGGTTAAACAGTATTTTGAACTTTTGTCGTTGTATTCTCTTTCGGTGGGAAATATTTAAAGGTGGATATGTTGTTTATAAACAAAAGAAAACATTGAATAAAAAGAAATTAAGAACCTGTAAGGTGAATATGAGAATCCCACACTGATATGCAACGATTTCAACATTGAGTGACTTTCGAGGGAAAAGAAAAGATGTTGTTGAAATAACTGAGCTCAGTATATCATAAAAACATACTTTCTTTTTCTCATTTGGGTCAAGCCTTAAATTCAGAACTGGCTGGTATCCTGATCGTGTCCAAAATTAAGGAACATTGGGGCCATTTATACGAGGAAAAATAAGACGCGTCTTACATAAGACGCGTCTTAAATAAGACGCGAACTGTACCATTTATATGAGCATGTCTTATCTAATAAGACGCGTCTTAGCTAAGCCGCGTCTTATTTTAGACGAAATGTGCCGTTTATACGGAAAGTTCGCGTCTTATTTAAGACGCGTCTCCTTTTTTCTCGTATAAATGGCCCTATTGTCTCCGATTTTGCAAAAAAATGTTGATACTGCTCATGCAAATTAAAGCATAACTTTGTTCTAAACAACGTTTACCTAATACAGTTTTTGTTGCAGCTTAGCTGCCTATATATTCTACTTTTAGCGTAAGATAATCTTAAGGACAAAAATCTTACTTCATCACAACCTACCGAGTTTCAGGATATGAAAAGCTCCGGGACTCGCTAAACCGCTAGTAAGCTGCGACGATCCTCTTGTCGTGTTCCTCTCGAAGTTTCTATTAAAATTTGTTTAATTTAAGTTGTGTACTGAAAGCAAAACTACAAAGATTATTACAGCAGCTGCAAATAAATCAACTCGCGGCAAATCGAAAATAACAAATAAGGCGAGAGGGAACTGAGAAACTGCTAAATTAAAATACGCGAAAACTGTTGGCTATTTTTGTTGCAGAGTACCTTAAAGTGTTTGTAAAGGAAACACCTTATTTTCTAAGTTCTAAAAACGGTTTTTTCTCAGAGGAGTGTCGCAGAAAACAATATCTTAGATACACTTGTTTTTGTTTCGGTTTCGTTTTTTATTTGCAAACCTGAGGCAGTAATGAATGTTTCAAGAAAATCGCAGGAAATTATCCTTCAGAAAATATTAACATTTCAAACACGAAAGCCTCTAATTGACACTTTGAAAGATTGAAAAATAAATAACTTTTCAAATGTTTTAAAACGACCTAAAGATTAACGCTGATAGATGTAAAATTGTAAATATGACTGGCGGAGAATTGTAGCTATTACAAAATTAGAATTAAAAAGCGAACAATTAATATAATGCTACGAAAAATGATTTTTTTTCGGTATTTACTTTTTAAATTTCCTTCTTTTTTATCTGATTGTACTAAAGCAGCCGTTTTGTAGTAGGTCCTTTTGAATAACAACTTTTACTTATGGGCCCCCCGAATACGGAAAATATCTTTCGCTCTGCTTGTGGACTTGAGCTTTATGTACGATAATACAATAGGCAATCACTCCGTCATCCTTCCACCCCCTCCCTAGTTTTTATGACATCGTCTCAAGTCAAATAAAACCAGGCTGGTTTCACGTTTATAAGCAATGAAATTTCATTGCTTTTTACAAAAACCTACAACGTCACTAGCTCCAGGCCCTTGCGCATATATCCAACAGTGCCCTAATGGCTCCCAGTTCCATTGGCGATAACTTTCAGGCGGTATCGCGACATGCGATATTTTTGTATTTTATCGGTTTGAAACATATCTTTCCATTACCAACTGATTTTTCTTTTCCTAAAAGTTGAATATCTTCATGCTGCGGGGGATGAAGGCTTCTTAAAAGGCTTTTGACGTCACTTGGAGATTCATATCATGCATGCTTATTTGTTACTTAATGAATTTTCAAGCGGGAAAAAACTGTAGAATTGTAATTTATCTTTGCACAAAGACCAAGCTAGACGAAACATAAAGGTAATCAACCTAGAAGAACTGGATTATTTACAAATCAACCCAAAGAATTTCGGTACAATTAAACTCATATTTAATTAGAAAAAATATTCCAAATATAAAATGCCAAATTATACTATTTGTGCAAAATGAACATTAAAAAAACCTTAAATTGTATGTTATATGGTCTGCAAAGTATGGTCTTTAATATTTTTTCGTGGAAAAGTGTCAATCATTAGTCATTTTTAGCAGAAAGCTGAAACATGATGTACCTTTCGACAATTTTTAACTGTGTCAGCTGTGTCAGTTTACTAAGGTATTAGAGTAATAAAAGGTAGTTGATTTCGGAAAATTAATGTAAAAATTGAGACGAATACTCTTAACCATTTTCAATTTCGTTATGATTTTTTTCCCAGCGCGAGCAACACAACAGAGGGGTATTTTTTAAAAAGGAGAAAAAATTTAAAAAAAACCATAAATATAAAACTATGTTATGAGCCAGAGATAGCAATATTTAAACAGGTACTTACCGAATGCAGAGCTTGATGATATTGGACTGATTCAGACTCGAGACAAACAGACTTGAAACTTACTTATTAGGTCATTTAACGAAAATAAACAGGGAGAAATCGTACAGGATTAAGAAAAAGGCCTACAACAGAGAAGATCATTTAGTGGTTTTAGTAAACCAACACGCCGCGGAGAGGTGAAAGAGAGTGGAAGGTGTATAAAGCGAGCTAATCGTCGATCTAACAGTTCTCTTTTGTTTCGTTGCTCGCAATTTCCTGATACGGCGGAGATGAGTTTAATCGCGAGGCGTCATGCCTTTTGCGGTATTAGTTAAAAAATAAATTACAAAGAAGTGAATTCGTAACTGATGTCCATCTGTTTTGGACCAAACTGGTCACTGAGGGTAGCCATGAAGTAAACAGAACTTGTTTCAATACACGTTGACAAAATAAAGGCTAGGGTAAAAAGGAAAACAATCAATGATTTTTGCCATGTAAAATGACGTTTTTAGGATAAAAATATTTTTCCTAGTCTCAATAAACTTGACAAAGATTATGCAACGTGTGAAGCTAGAAATGATTCCTAAAAACTTTTGTATTTAAGAAAGGTTTTAACTTAATCGGTAAAAGATGGCATTCATTCTAAAGCCTCTGCTTTGAGAACATTGCGCTTCGCATTTACAATCGATTTTGCCGGGCGCTTATTTAAGATTGAATGAACACTTTGGTAAAATTAAGAAAAACTGTCAGTGCCAAACTTTATAAGTTTACAAACTAAACCAACGCTTGTAAATGAAATGAGGGGGTCAACAGTTTTAAAACTTTCTAGTGACAGACAACAGGATGGCAAATTGCTGACAACAGAATAATTAGCATTGTTAGATGAGGCTGAGTATGATATGAAAAATTATTTGGCAACGAGGAGGCTGTGATCCGCCGAGACTGATAACACCCTCCGAGATCTGCGTAATTCCCGCCTTCATAAGATTTGCCTGTCTCGCGGACAAGAGTGATGAAGGCTCTGGTGACGATTTGACAAGATTTGCGGAACTAGTCAAATTTGTGGTAATCTGAGCAAAAAAAGACTCAAGTCAATTGAGCTGACTAAGTTGGACGGACGTGTGCGTGAATGTGCTCCGTAAAGTTATCTTATTTCTCTCATACATCCAATGTTTTATTGTTTTCTTTTATAATGTTCCGTGTACCAATAACGTTTGTCTCTCTTCGTAATCGTTTTTTAGTAATACTTTTTTTTATATTAGTTTATTTTATTTATTGTATTGTAGTGTCTTTATTATTTTTTAGTCCAACTAAGAGAACCTTGTATTGTAAATGTATCTTTCCTTTCCCCATCTTGATTACTTCCTAGGCTATTTGGGGGTGGGAAAATGATTTAATTAGTTATAATTTTATAACTATAATGTGTTGTTGTTGTTGTTGTAACAAGTATCCTTATGACAAGTCCAATTCCAGACCAAACCCATTGCCATCCTCCTGTAAGAATGCCCTGGTCCTTCCAGTCAAGGTTTTACGCCAGCATAATAGGACACGAGATGGTGAGAGCTCTGACCTGAATTATGTGGCGAGCAATGTTTGGGACGAGAGCACAAGATGACAGCTTCACCTTTAAACGTCAGTGATGCCCCAGCGATACAGAGCGGCAAACTTCGTGGAACTGGACGTTTTAGGAAATCCACAAATAAATGAAGTCATGAAATACGAAAACATACTAGTGATTAACTTGCTTTTGAATAGCAGGCCAGTGCGCATGAGCAGAAGTAAATCAGAACACTACAAGAAAAACCAAGTACGGGCGTGTACCACGCTGAAAAGAAGAGAGATAACGAAAAATTGCGCGTTTAATTTTGATATTAGAAATTGACCAAACATGCATGCATTATGGTGTCGGTTTACTACAACGACCAGTGTTTTTTTTTAATGCAAACCATATATCGTTGTTGTTTTCTGAAACAAAAACGGTATTTATTAGTTGAAATGAGAAAACAAAAACGAAATGGATTTTGACGGTATAGTAATAGTATAATGGTACTTACATATCTCTTAAACATTCCTGGACGTGCCATGTTTTTTTGAATCTTAAAAGCGGATATTCTTAAACTGAAACTGACTGTCTACAGTCTCTGAACGAGAAAACGACATCACGCAGACACACACGCACAAAAAAAAACTTACCCATGCATTCCTTGTGATATTCACATCTTAATTCGCCATCTTCGCGTTCACTTATATTGTTGCCTTGGTAATCACTTATGACAATGAAGGGCGGGATGATTGGTTTGGTCGATGGAAGACTCAGGGTGCGTCGCTTAGTTCGGGGTGGAAACAGGAAGGGCTGACTCTGTGTTTTCAGGGAATGGGAGCGATAGTTGCTCGACGGCTCCTGGGGAGGTGCTAACAAGTGCGATTCAGACATGGTGTCAGTTGCATTGGAGTAAACAAGCAGAAAGAAATCAGTGGAATGTTACCAAATCATCATCACCATCCTCTTTTTGCTCGTCGTCATCATCATCGTCATCATCAATATCATCATCGTCATCATTATCATTTAAGAATCATTTCAATAAGTCCACACCTCATTTAAGTAACACAGAATCGCCAAGAAAAAGGACTCAAAGGATTTTGTGGAGTAATTGAGGTTTCTGGATAACTTACCACCTATCCCTCCCCTAATTCACAAATTTGCCCCAAGTGAGAAGTAAAAGTCAATGTTGACTAAGGGGAGGGATAGGTGGTCGATCATTTACCCAGAAACTTCCATTTCCGACTTTGTCTTACCGAAGCGTGACTGCAAACTGTCTAGCAAGGTCTGCTGTATGCGAAAGATTGTCTAAACAGCTAAGCTAAAGGTAGGACTGAGTACTTTTACTTGAATGGGCCAAAAATATCAAATTAATAGTGGCTATAATCGTTTGAATCTTGTTAATTTGTTAAAGCTACCACGAATACACCTATTTGATGTATACTTAGGGGCTTTTTACATGAAGAGAGTTGGAGGAAGATCCTATGAGACGGAACAACTTGGATCACTCACCGTTTCTGGGAACGGAGTCATTCCACTGACGCTCAAAAATAAATAAATAGACACTCGAATTTTCAAGCGGTACTTGAACACTCGACGAGGACGACTCGATTTTCACTCCATGACTCGACGAGGACCCGATGACTCTGCCAGGATGACATCGATGAGGCACCATAACGGATCACCTACCGTTTCTGGGAACGGAGTCATCTTTCTACTTACGCTCAAAAATAAATAAATAGACGCTCGTAGGGTCATAAAGTGAAGTCGAGAAGTCCTCGT